GATTTTGGGGAGGGGTCTCACCTGTCCCCGTCCCTGTCCCAGGGCTGTGCCCTGCGCCTGCTCACGGGGGATTTTGGGGGGATTTTTGGGGTTTCTCGTGGGATTTTAGGAAGATTGTGAGGGGATTTTAGGCGGGTTTTTGGCGGGATTTTTTGGGGGATTTTTGGGGGGATTTTGGGGGATTTTGGGGAGGGGTCTCACCTGTCCCACCCCAGGCGTGGCGGGGCTGTGCCCTGCACCTGCTCACGGGGGATTTGGGGGCATTTTTGGGGTTTTTGGTGGGATTTTGGTGGGATTTTAGGCGGGTTTTTGGGGGGATTTTTGGGGTGATTTTGGGGAGGGGTCTCACCTGTTCCTGCCCCACCCCAGGCGTGGCGGGGCTGCGCCCTGCGCCTGTTCACGGTGGCGCTGCTGGAGGACAACAGCGAGCGGCTGCGGCGCCTGCTCGAGGCCGTGGTGCGGCGCCGGGGGCTGCCGGCGCAGGTGCACGTGGTGGAGCTGGTGAGCGCCAAAAACACCCAAAAACACCCAAAAACACCCCAAAAACACCCCAAAACACCCCAAAAACACCCTTCTCACTGGTCCGTACTGGTTTATACCGGTCCGTACCGGTCCGTACTGGTTTATACTGGTGTGTCCTGCCCCCAGCACGACGGCGCGGTCTCTGACTACACGTACGAGCGGACGCTGATGATGGAGCAGCGCTCGCAGATGCTGCGGCTGCTGCGCCGCGCTCAGGTGACGTCATCGCCCACCCCGTGACGTCATCGCACACCCCGTGACGTCATCGCACCCCCCGTGACGTCATCGCACACACCCCGTGACGTCATCACACACCCCGTGACGTCATCACCCCCACCCGTGACGTCATCACCCTGTCTGTGGCGTCGTTGCCCTGCATGTGACGTCATCATCCTGTCCGTGACATCATCACCCCATCCAAGACATCATCACATGTCTGCATGTGACGTCATCACACTCTCTGTGACGTCATAACCCTGTCTGTGATGTCATCGCGCCTCCCTGTGACGTCACCACCCTGTCCTTGATGTCATCACGCTGTCCATGACATCATCACCCTGTCTGTGACATCATTGCCTTGACTGTGACATCATCACCCCATCAATGATGTCATTGCACTGTCTGTGACGTCATCACCCATGGCACAATCACCCTGACTGTGACGTCATCACCACCCCGTGATGTCATCTCCCCTGTCTGTGATGTCATCGCCCTGACTGTGACATCATCGCCCTGTCTCTGACGTCATCCCCATCCCTGTGACGTCACCACCCTCCCTGTGATGTCACTGCTGCCCAGTGACGTCACCCCCCTCTTGTGACGTCACAGGGAGGCCCCGCCCCCTCGCAGCCGCCCAGCGCCGAGGAGGAGGAGGGGGGGGGAGGGGAGCCCCGGAGAGAGCCCAGCCCGTGAGTGGAACTGGGACGGACTGGGACGGACTGGGGGGGGAACTGGGCCGTACTGGGACCAAACTGGGACCAGACTGGGCCGTACTGGGACCAAACTGGGCCATACTGGGACCAAACTGGGCTGTACTGGGACCAAACTGGGACCAAACTGGGCCATACTGGGGGGCTGGAGGGGGACACTGGTGGTGACTGGTCTGGACTGGTTTGTACTGGTCTGTACCGGTCCATACTGGTCTGTACCAGTCCATACTGGTTTGTACTGGTCTGTACCAGTCCATACTGGTTTGTACCAGTCCATGCCGGTCCGTACTGGTCTGTACTGGTCTGTACTGGTCTGTACTGGTCTGTACTGGTCTGTACTGGTCCATACCGGTCCATACTGGTCTATACTGGTCCGTGCTGGTCCGTACTGGCCGCTCCCGGGGGCTCCGGGGGCAGCAGGGGCTCCCCTGGGGGGAGGGGCGGCCTCAGGGGGGGGGGGGGCACCCCAAAATCCCCAAAAATGGGGACAGGGCCCCTCGAGAACTGTATCCGAAATGGGGGAAAAACCGGGATTTTGGGAAAAACGGGGAAAAAACGGGAAATGGGGACAGGGCCCCTCGAGAACTGTATCCAAAAATGGGGGAAAAACCGGGATTTTGGGAAAAAATTATAAAAACGGGAAATGGGGACAGGGCCCCTGGAGAACTGTATCCAAAAAATGGGGTGAAAAAGGGAAAAAACGGGGAAAAATGGGGAAAAATGGGGATGGGGAACCTGGAGAACTGTATCCAAAATGGGGGAAAAAACCAGGATTTTGGGAAAAATGATAAAAACGGGAAATGGGGACAGGGCCCCTCGAGAACTGTATCCAGAATGGGGGAAAAAAACGGGAATTTGGGGAAAAGGGGGAAAAATGGGAAATGGGGACAGGGCCCCTCAAGGACTGTATCCGAAATGGGGGAAAAACCGGGATTTTGGGAAAAACGGGGAAAAACGGGGAAAAACGGGGAAATGGGGACAGGGCCCTTCGAGAACTGTATCCGAAAAATGGGGGAAAAATGGGGATTTTGGGAAAAACGGGGAAATGGGAAATGGGGACGGGGCCCTCGAGAACTGTATCCCAAAATGGGGTGAAAAAGGGAAAAAACGGGAAAAACAGGGGGAAAACGGGGAAATGGGAAATGGGCATGGGGAACCTGGCCCATGGAGAGCTGTGTCTGGAATTTGGGCGTAAAAAGGGGGATTTTGGGAAAAAATGGGGGAAATAGGGAAAGATGGGGGGAAATGGGAAAAAATTGGGAAAAAATGGGGAAAAAACCCGGGAAAAATGGGAAAAATGGGAAAAAACCCGGGAAAAAACCCGGGAAAAATGGGGAAAATGGGAAAAATGGGAATAGGAACGCCAGGCCCGGAGAAGTGCATCCAAAATGGGGGAAAAAAACGGGATTTGGGGAAAAACGGGAAATGGGAAATCGGGAATGGGGAACTGGGAGGGACTGGGAGGGACTGGGGGTTACTGGGAGGGACTGGGAGTTACTGGGAGGGCACTGGGGGTTACTGGGGGTTACTGGGAGGGACTGGGAGTTACTGGGAGGAACTGGGGGTTACTGGGGGGGCACTGGGGGTTACTGGGGGTTACTGGGAGGGACTGGGAGGGCACTGGGCGTTACTGGTTTGTACTGGTTTATACTGGTTTGTACTGGTGAGCCCTTGACCCCCCAGACCTGGAGTTCCTGGAGGTGCTGACCGAGGGCCTGGGGCCGGTGCTGCTCGTCAGGGACGGCGACGGGGACGGCGACCAGTGCTCCCAGTATGGAACTGGGAACGGGAACGGGGAGCCCTGAGGGACCAGTGCTCCCAGTATGGAACTGGGAACGGGACCAGTGCTCCCAGTATGGAACTGGGAACGG